CCCGGGACCCGGGACAGCGCACAGTGCCGTTTTTAATGCATGCTCCGCGCGCGGATCGTGTATTGAACATGCAGGGATGTAGTACTAAAACCAATGATGAGTTCATGCATAAATTCATCCATAAACTGATCATGTATTAAACATCCTATATATCAAAAAATCCTATGTATCAGAAATTGCCCTGTATAGCGGCCCTCGCGGCCTGGGTCAGGAACTCATGTGGTGAAGCGCGTTTCCCCCCCCCCCCCCGACCTCATCATCCTCCAGGCCCTGCTGCGGATGCACCTCCTGGGAGGTCCAGCTCTGACTTTGCCGTGGTCCGACATCCGGCGTAATCCCCCTCAATCGGGCTTCGTCCCGCCCAATCCCGTTTAATGTGGCTCAATCCCGCTTAATCCGCGGCCTAATCTGGTGTGGCAGCCCCCCAATGGGGCTTAATCTTCCTTGATCCTTCCGACGAAGACTCCCCAGTAGTTGCAGGAGGAGGAGGAGGAAAAGGAGGAGGAGGAGGAGGAGGAGGAGGAGGAGGAGGAGGAGGAGGGAGGAGGGAGGAGGGAGTAAGGGAGGAGGGAGGAGGGAGGAGGGAGGAGGGTAGGAGGAGGAGGAGGGAGGAGGCAGGAGGAGGGAGGAGGAGGAGGAGGAGGAGGATTCCCCCTCCAGCCGCAGCAGGTTTCTGTACACCACAGCCCTGCCTGGCCAGGGTCACTCTGAGACCCAGGGCGGGGCCGAGAGGCCCCCGCGGCCCCGGGGCCAGAAGGGCGCACAGCATACACCGTGCCAGGGGGGGCAAGGACATCGGCGTCACCCCAACATACTCATACTATATGTTTCTCCTCCTCCTCCTCCTCCTCCTCCTCTTCCTCATCCTCCTCCTCCTCCTCCTCCTCCTCCTCCTCCTCATCCTCCTCCTCTTCCCCCTCCTCCTCGCGCGGCGGCAGAAAGCACGGCGGCGGCGGGAGGTTTTTCGCTGTGTTCCAGGCCAGAGTTATACCGGCAACACCCCTACATACTTATACTATATGTTCCTCGCCCTCCCAGGGGCGCCGCGCGCACCGAGAAATCTCATAGCATATGCGTCGTGGCGGGCGCTTTCTGGCCACACCGCTCGGGAAACGATATACTACAAGAGAAGTATACTATATGTTCCGGTCGGACGCGCGTCTCCGAGGAGGACATACAGTAGTAGTATGTCTCTGTGCGTCTCATGGCAGCCCTGGCCAGGCGCGGTGGTGGCGTCGAGAAGCCCTTCTGCCTGCCCTCCTCCTCCATCGCCTCCTCCCCAGACCCCCCTCGCGTCGTGAAAAAGTGGCGACGGGAGGTGGTTCTCTATTTTCAGCCTCCGGGGGCCCCTGCAGGGCCTCGGGACCATCAAAAAAGACTCAGGATGAAACCAGTCCTGGGGAAGGGGTCGGTACTTCTTGGGGTCGACGTTGGGGAAAAAATGCGACGTCGGGGGTCTGGGTCTTCCATCGCCTCTACCTACCCTCCTCCTTCTACCTTACCCTTCTACCTGCCCTCCTCCTCCATCGACTCCTCTTCCGTCGCCTCTCAGCCTTCCCCACAGACACGGGCAATTCTTCAGAAGGCGCGAGGGCTTCTGAGAAGCCCCATGCCGCCCTTTGAGCGGGCCTTCTCCCTCTCACTTCCCCCCCTCCCCCTTGCTCGCCGCCGAAGAGTTGGCGATCAGGCCGGGGATGGGAGCGCCTCGCCCGAACCTCCTCGCCTGGGTCAGCCTCTGCCGCTGCCCCCGCCAGAAGTGGCTGCGTCGCGCCTCTTCCCGGCAAAACCGCCACGCCGTGGACCGATCCGGGTGCTCCTCGCGGCTGGCTTTGGCTGCGGCGGCCGCCGTCGACACCGCTCGAGGAGGCCACGCGGACGCTGGTCAAACTTCAGGAGCAACGATAGGGAGGATAGGCACAAGGGGGATGCATCGACACCCACTCGCCTCTGGATCCCCGAGGAGGGGCCTGGCAGCTCCAGCCCGCCCAGGAGCGCGCGCGCGTGCACGAGCGAGGGCGCACCGCCGATCCATCGGCGAAGCATCGCCGATCCCAGGCCGGCGTGCCCACTCCTGCATGCCAGCGCCCCCCCCCCCCCGATCGCAACATTACCACGCAGCGGGGAGACCTCGACGCGCCTCGTGCCCCCATTGGCCCCTTCGGGTTTGCGCTGGTCCTCCTCCTCCTCCTCCTCCTCATCCTCCTCAACTCCAACTCCAACCCAACTCCTCCTCCTCCTCCTCCTCCTCCTCCTCTCCTCCTCCTCCTCTCCTCCTCATCCTCCCTCCTCCTCCTCCCCTCCTCCTCTCCCTCCTCCTTCTCTCCTTCCCCTACTCCTCCTCCTCCTCTCTCCTTCTCCTCCTTCTCTCCTCCCTCTCCTTGCTCCTTTCCTCCCCCTCCTTCTCCTCGACCTCGAGGCCCGCGGCCGCACCCCGCGCACCCGGGGGGCTCCAGGTCTCTGCAGGGGAGCGGCAGCGCCGGTGCTCGCGGCGGTCACCGGCCGCACGCCGCGCACGGCGCTTGGGCGCGCCCTTTCGCCCTGACGAGCAGCACGCTCGGCGCCTCCTCCTCCTCCTCCTCCTCCTCTCCTCCTCCTCCTCCTCTCCTTCCTCCTCTTCCTCCTCCTCGTCTCCTCTCATCCCTCCCCCTCCTCTCCTCCTCTCCTCCATCCTCCTCATCCCCTCCTCCTCCTCCTCCTCCTCCCCTCGTCCTCTCGTCGTCCTCATCCTCCTCCTCCTCCTCCTCCTCATCCTCCTCCTCCTCCTCCTCCCCTCCTCCTTCCGCCGGGCTGCTGCGACGAGGCTCTCGCTGAGGAGAGGGTGCCGGGTGGAGCGGCGGTGCCAAGCAGCACGCCTCGCGCGCTGGGCCTCCCGACTGCCTAGCTCGCGGCAAAAAACGCACGGCGGCGGCGGGAGGTTTTGCGCTATGCTCGGGCCGCATTTGAATACGGTTCCAGGCCAGAGTTATACAGATACTCCAGATTTCGTAATAAATGGGAGGGGGTCTGGACCCTCCAAGACAAGCCATTTCAGACCCCCCCCGTGGGAGAACCCTCCAAAACATCGTCCCCAGACCCCCACCAGGCCCTCCAAGATAGCCTGGAAGAGACCCCCCCCCGAAATGAGACCCCCCTCCCTCTTATTACGAGATCTGGAGTACACAACTTCGGGAAACGATGTCCCAAAACCTCAGGATGCAACGTATATGATGGCGCCTCCGCTGCACGGGGCGCTCAGTGCCGAGGCTCCGGGCGAAAGGGGGGGATTGGGAAAGGGGGGGCTACGAAGTTTGCTGCATGCAGCTGGTTTCGGCCTCACCGAGGGGGCCATTTCTCGATACATAGCCGCCCCCGGCGCCCGGAGGCGCCGGGAGAATCAGCTACGTGAGCCGACTCTCAGCCCCCCCTTTGCTATCCCCCCCTTTCGCCCGACCCGAAGGCTGGGCCCAGACACCCTCGCGTCGCGACAGAAATCACCGCGGCGGCGGGAGGTTTTTCGCTATGCTCGGCTTTCGGGGGGCCTCCACGGGGGGCCTCGGGACCGTCAAAAGACCGCTCGGGGCGACGAAGAACTGGTCCCGGGGAAGGGGTCCAGACCTTCTGGGGGTCGACGATTCGACAAAAATCACGATACCTCTGGGGGTCGACGATGTCGACGATGTGAAAAGATCACGGCACCTCTGGGGGTCGACGATGTTTAAAAATCACGACGTCGGGGGTCTGGGTCCCTCGCCCTGCCGAGCAGCACGCTCGACGCGCAGGCTGGTGACCGCCGAGGGCGACTGCCCAGGCCTGGCGGTCGCGGCTGTGCCAGTCTCCGTCCGTGCGTGCACCCGCGCGCTGCGTCCAGGCAGGGCCGTCCTCCATCGGGACGAAGGCTCCTCGAGGCTCGGCATCGCCCGGACGTGTGCATTTTTTATTCGTGGAGAGGACCATCGAGGAGCATCCTCAGGGGAACAAGAAGTGACATAAACATAAAAACTCGGAGGTCCGCGCGGATTTCTCGGATCGGCGCTGGACCCCCCTCCCTGGCGCGCTCCGCGCGCTAGGGGCGGCGCCAGAGGCGCCGCTGGGGGCCCCCAGCGCCGATCCGAGAAATCCGCGCGGACCTCCGAGCTTTTATGTTTATGCCACTTTTTGTTCCCCTTAATCCTGGACCATCTAGCCACAAGAAGCACGCGCGACACCGACAAATGCACGGGGGGAGGGACGGCCGAGCAATGGCAGGGCGGCGGGTGCCTGGGGCCCAGGGGGCTTTTGCGTCGTGCCCGCCCGCTGCTCGTCCGCAGCTGCCCAGCGTGAGCCGGGCTTTTGTGGTCGAGGGCAGCCGGGCTGCGCGTGAGCCACACTCACTACGAGGTGCATGGCCTGTTTTTTTAC